AAAGGTTAAAAAACAAGGGTTTCCATTTTAATAGACAAATAATTGAGTAAAGAACATTATTTAAAATCAGTGTAAGGTTGGTAATTCAAACTCATTTAAATATCTCATCTACACTGCTTTTAAATTATGTAAATTGGAAATTTGCCAATAACTTTATTGTTAATAAATGCATTGGAAATTTGCCAACAATTTTAGTGTAATAAACTTCATTGGAAATTTGCCAATATAAAATTTTGCTGATGAAGGTTTTTTGTTTACCTTTAGCCTTGACTATGAAGTAATTTTCTATTTTTATAGCCTTATGATGTAGTTGAATTATTTAATACTTTTATGATGTGTTTAAATGGGGTTTTATCATGTTTATGGTTGCAAATTTATTGTTTTAGTATAATAAACTCCATTTAAAATTTGCCAATAAAAAAAGTTTTGTTTATTTTTAGCTATGATTATGATGTCATTTTCTATTTTACTTTTATGGTTGCAAAGAAATTTTTATTTTTAGATATTACTGTTAAATGATGCTGATTAAGGTTTTTGCTATGTTTAGCCATGACTATGATGTCATTTTCTATTTTAATATCTGTTATGATGTATTTAAATGGGCTTTTATGGTTACAAAGGAATTTTATTTTTAGATATTACTATAAAATGTTGCTGATGCTGATTAAGGATTTTGTTTATTTTTAGCCATGACTATGATGTCATTTTCTATTTTAATACCTTTATGATGTAATTTCCATTTTTAGATATTACTGTTAAATGATGCTGATTAAGGGTTTTTAGCTATGTTTAGCCATGACTATGATGTCATTTTCTATTTTAATATCTTTATGATGTATTTAAATGGGCTTTTATGGTTACAAAGGAATTTTATTTTTAGATATTACTTTAAATGTTGCTGATTAAGGATTTTTGTTTATTTTTAGCCATGACTATGATGTCACTTTCTATTTTAATACCTTTATGATGTATTTAAATGGGCTCCCATGTATTTAGATTTTTGATTATTTATACATGTTACCAAATTGGTCCACATTGAACAAAAACAGTCCAAATTTCAACTTTATTACATTACATCAAACATTGAATTCTACATATTCTTTGATATATTGAAATTAACAAACAATTTAGTTTATGGATATTCCACCATAATCGGTAAATTAAATTTTTTCCAGTTCTTACACCACATTCATCCTGTGTCAGAAACCTATGCTGTGTCAAATATTTAATGACAATCCAAAGTCATAGCTGTATCAAGCTTGAATTTTGTGTCCATACTTGCCCCAACTGTTCAGGGTTCGACCTCTGCGGTCGTATCAAGCTGCGCCCCAGCGAAGCATTTTATTGATTATGGGACCAGTTTTCAAGTTTGTCCAAGTTGGGGTCCAAAATTAAACTTTGTTTGATTTCAACAAAAATTGAATATATGGGGTTCTTTGATATGCTGAATCTAACCATGTATTTTGATTTTGGACATTGGACCATAATAGGTAAATTAAAAAAATTCAAGTTCTTAGACCACATTCTTTCTGTGTCAGAAACCTATGCTGTGTCAAATATTTAATCACAATCCAAATTCAGAGCTGTATCAAGCTTGAATGTTGTGTCCATACTTGCCCCAACTGTTCAGGGTTCGACCTCTGTGGTCGTATCAAGCTGCGCCCAGCAAAGCATTTTATTGTGTTTTGGTCTGTTTTTCTTATACTGTATGCAATAGGTCTTCTATATTTGGTGTATGGAATGATTGTAAGGTGTACATGTCTAGCGGGCAGGTGTCATCTTACCTTAACCTCATTTTCATGGTTCAGTGGTTATAGTTAAGTTTTTGTGTTTTGGTCTGTTTTTCTTATACTGTATGCAATAGGTCTTCTATATTTGGTGTATGGAATGATTGTAAGTTGTACATGTCTAGCGGGCAGGTGTCATCTGACCTTGACCTCATTTTCATGGTTCAGTGGTCAAAGTTAAGTTTTTGAGTTTTGGTCTTTTTTTCTAATACTATATGCAATAGGTCAACTGTATTTGTTGTATGGAAGAATTGTTAGCTGTACATGCCTGCCTAGCATGGTTCATCTGACCTTGACCTCATTTTCATGGTTCATTGGTCAATATTTAGTTTACTTGGTTAATGTTAAATTTATGTGACAGTTGTAATAAAGCTTTATATTTAGGACTATCAACATAATATCAATGATTAGTAAAGAAGGCGAGACATTTCAGCGTGTGCACTCTTGTTAAAACTGGAGTTATCTTCCTTTGTCCATGATTATAGTTGAATCAACTACAATCAATGCTTTACAAATGCAATGTTTAATTTTGACTTCCACTGATAAAACACAGATCAAGTTGAATTTGGGTAGTTTCACTTTAACCGTTCTAGAGTTATGCCCCTTTATAAATGGAAAAATTGCAAAATTTTTAGTTTCCATTCTGTAACCTAAGTTTGCCCCTTCCAAACATTATGAAACCTATACACAATATTCATTACCACAAAACTAAGATCAAGTACAAATTTTTTGTTTCCGTTTTCTAACTTTAGTTTGCCTCAACCAAATGTTATGAAACTTATACACAATGCTTATTACTACATAATACAGTACGAAATTTGGTGGTGTCACTTTTACCGTTCTTCAGTTATGTCCCTTAATAACTATATGATATGCAAGTGGAGGCATCATCTGTGTCCACATGTGGACACTATCCACATTTATTTTAGAAGCATTTGCCTTCAAATAATGTGTTTTTCTTTATAATGATTTATAGTATTTTTATACACATCAAACTCTTGTGATTGTGATCTAATATAAAAAATTTAAAAATAGCAAATATCAAATGATAAGGAAGTTCCATTTTGCTATTTTGTCATCATTTGTTAAGATTTCATTTTTTTTCAAACACTTTGGAAGAGGTGGTAAGTTGTTGTCATGGGACGAAATAGACCTGTCCAGACAGAAAAATTGAGGTTGATATACATCATGTCTTACTAAAAATTTTCAGAATGATGTAAAAAAAGAACAACATATTTTATTGAATAAGAATTGAAGTATACAGAATTAAGCCTTACAAGATTATTTTTTTCTATCAACCAACCCAAACTTTTCTCAAACCCACAAATTAAAAATGCCTTAGGCTTCATAGCATTAAAGTTTAGGCTTATTGGTTAATTGAAAGCATTATCAATAGTCATAATAAGCAGCTTTTTATGCCCCCTCCCCCCCCCCCCCCCCCCCCCCCCCCCCCCATAGCTGGGGGGCATTAAGTTTTACCCTTGTCCATCTGAACGTACGTCCAAAAATTGGTTTCCGTTCTCTAACTTAAGTTTGCCTCAACCAAATGTTATGAAACTTATACACAATGCTCATGACCACAAATACAGATCAAGTTTGAATATTGGTAGCTTCACTCTAACCGTTCTAGAGTTATGCCCCTTTATAAATGGAAAAATTACAAAATTTTTAGTTTCCGTTCTCTAACTTAAGTTTGCCTCAACCAAATGTTATGAAACTTATACACAATGCTAATTACCACAAAACACAGATCAAGTTTTAATTTTTTATACGCCCGTTTACAGGATGTATTATGGTATACGGTTGACCGTCTGTCCGTCCGTCTTTACGTCCGTCCCGTCCGTCGTTAACATGTGGGACATTAATCAAAAACGCTTCAACCAATATGCATGAAACTTTGGTGAATTGTTTATATCTATTGACGTGAGCTCCCTTTCGTTTTTTTATAAATTTCAGATTTACCATTTCCGAGTTTTGGGGTTTTATTCATTAAAAAAGGGGGGATTTCCAGTTTTCCAGACAATAACTCAAAAACAATTTCACCAATTTGCAAGAAACTGTGGTGAATTGTTTATTTCTATCGACATGAGCTCCTTTTTGATTTTATAAATTTCAGACTATACATTTCCGATTTATGGGGTTTTATTCATTACAAAAAGGGGGATTTTCCAGTTTTTGGACAATAACTCAAAAATGCTTTTAGGATTTTTTATGAAACTTTGGTAAATTGTTTTTTATCTATTTTTGTAAGCTCCCTTTTGATTTTTATAAATTTTAGATTTTATGTTTCCGAGTTATAAGATTTTATTTGTTTATAGTCATAAGATTTTATTTGTTTATAGTCATAAGATTTTATTTGTTTATAGTCATAAGATTTTATTTGTTTATAGTCATAAGATTTTATTTGTTTATAGTCTGACAACAGATTTACTAAGTATTACACAACAGTACAGTGTATTGCACAACAGCAAGAAATCTTTCATATAACCAATTTCAAGTTCTTTGACTACATTTATTCAGAAACCTATTATATATCAAATATTTAATTACCGGTACAATCCAAATTCAGACCTGTATCAAGCTTGAATATTGTGTCCATTTTTGCCCCAACTGTTCAGGGTTGGACCTCTGCGGGCGTATCCAGCTGCGCTCAGCGAAGCAGTTTATTGGGATATGTATGACTCCTTCTTCCTGTTTTAAGATTTTTGAAACACAATTGGGGGTATTTTACCATGACAACAAGGGCATTCTAGTTTTATTTGTACTCAGCTTGAAACAGGATAAAACTACCAGGCAAATTATTCTACCTATTTCTAACCCTTGAACAAATAAATTATATAATTTTGAGACATTGCATAGTTATTCTACATGTATATTACAAAATCACATAGTGATTATTTTGCTCCTAATTTTACAATAGCTGGAAAGGAAGATATCCATCCTAATGTGTTAAATTGTTCCTCTTGTTCATGGCAAAATAATTGCATTTGCCATATGTAGTCCCTCAGTAACCAGATATGTTCTACCTACTCATGCACAGCAAGGACAAAATTTTATTGTAGTACCATAATAAAATATAGTAGGTGTAATGGAACCCTTAAAAATGTTCCTAATTTGTTTTGTTTTTGATTTAATATCATAGACAGTAAATATTAATGTGCATAGACACTCTAACTAAACAAAAGATGCATTTTTTTTTTCGAATTTTTGCAGGAAAGAATGGTGAATTATCATATACAGTTTTATGGACACCAGAGAGATATAAAATGTTATATGGGTATTTGGTGGCAATATGTGTGTGTTTACTAGTCTGTCTCGCTTCCAGGTGGTTAAGAAAGAGATGACATCAGAAAACCCTCTAAAACTATTGGTGATTTCTGCCGGCCTTATATTCTACAATGATCAAACAGATCAAATATCAAATTTGTTATTATATTAGTTGAACATGTATTATCAAATATGTATATTTTCCATATTTTCTGAAAATATGACATTATTAATATATATTTTTCCATCATAGCCAAGATTTCTATTGGCATTTTATATCTATATTTTGTAACTTTGGTCATATTTAAAAGTCATATTGAATAAACAAAAACAGCTGCTTGTGTTTAGATGCTTACAAGAAATTATGACGTTTTAAAAGACAAAATTTGCTCAAATGTAATATAATTGACTAGAAATTAGATAATATTCGAAATTTATTTTTTTAAGTAATTTTTTTTTTCAATATTTTTCGATATGGAAAATAAAAATTAATTTTGTTTGAAAATATACTTCATTATAACATTATCTTAATTAGCATGTAAGGCAAGAAGTATATATAGATTAAAAAATAATATATTTTAGTAAGAAAAAATGTATGTCTGTTGTAATGCAGAAAATGTAATTTTGAAATGCTGCCTGATTTGTTAAAATGTTTGACTGTTTCAACCATGCATTTGATTAAATGTTTAGTCATTCTGATTGATAGTTCAGTTACATATGTATGCTTTTTGGTGTGAATTTCAATTTAGATACTCTTATTTATACTATATATCCAGCAACACCATTTTATTGCTTACTTATATGAAAAAACATCATTTAAATTCTATTTTTATCAATGATTCCAATCTATAGACCAATTTAGAGTTCTCTTTTTGTGAATGGGTTATGCTGGTTGACACTAGGTCAGTTGGCGTAAATAACTTCTGAACGTCAACAATTGACTCTCACTTAGACATGATATCAGATGCATTTTGACATAAGAAATGTAAGAAAAAATATAAATATGAAAAAAGTCTTTAAGAATGGAAATAATATGTATAGCTTATTGAGGAATCATGTCGTTACAACTTATTGACCTTTTGTAATAAAAGAAAATTTAAAAGATATTTATGCAATAAATTGGAAAAAATGAAAGATATTATTTTGAACATTTTCTATTTTAATATCTGATCTCTTAGTACAGGACAATCATATATTGTATTCTAGTTTCAATTATTGTATTCTAGTTTCAAATATTGTATTCTAGTTTCAAATATTGTATTCTTGAATTCTAGTTTCAAATATTGTATTCTAGTTTCAAATATTGTAGTCTAGTTTCAATATGACCTCTACAGTTACATTAGATATTTTTATGCCCCACCTAGGGGCATTATGTTTTTCAATCTGTGTGTCCGTTCGTTCATCTGTTCGTCCGTCCGTCCGTCGGTCCCGCTTCAGGTTAAAGTTTTTAGTCAAGGTAGTTTTTGATGAAGTTGAAGTCCAATCAACTTGAAACTTAGTACACAATCATGTTCCCTATGATATGATCTTCCCAATTTTAATGTCAAATTAGAGTTTTGACCCCACTTTCACGGTCCACTGAACATAGAAAATGATAGTGCTAGTGGGGCATCCGTGTACTATGGACACATTCTTTTTTATAAAGAGAAATTATTACACAAGGCATTTGTTACAGGGTTCTCACTAAGGATTTGTAAGGCAAGTCTAGGGACCCATCATTTATGGCCATGATGAGTCCAACAGTGAGAAGATGACATTTTATTGCTATTTAATCTATTATTTCAGTCTCCATGACAAAATAGAGCAAGGAAATGACATAAAATTTAGATTATTTAAACACTTGTTATAAAATGATGATATATGTGCTCAGTTGATACAACATTTTACAATCTTGATGCATCTTTGGACTCACCAGTATTCAAAATGATGAGTCCAGGACTCATGGACTCGCCTTAGTGAGAACACTGTGTTAGTTAAACAAGCTTGGAATAGTAATTGAAAGATTATTTTTCCTTATACATGTACTATTTATGATATTTCTGTATGAAATCCTTTTTGCAGTACTGCAGCTGATGTTTGAGTGTAATCATGCATATTTATATTGTTAACATAGAAATATTTTCGTCTTTTATAAGACAGTATATTCTAGTCTCATTTTTTATTTATCTTTTGGTTGGATGCTTACCTCGAGAATCGAGATTGGGAGGTCTTGAGTTCGATTCCGAGGTGGGCCATACCAAAAACTTTTATTTGCTGCTTATCTGCAAAGCATTTTGGGTTCTAGGAGTGAGAGCAAAGAATGTATCCAGTTTGTTTAACAAATCTTCCTAAGGTCTGTTACATTGTGAGCTTTTATGTTAAAAAATTCAAACAAGCATATCAGTACTTTACAAAGCAGGGTTTAAATTCATCACATTTACATGTTGTGATCCTTGATAAGTTTGAAAGATAACTCTCTGGTCCATCTCCCAAGTATTTTGGATGTTATTAATATTACCTAATGTTCAACTACTAAATGGCAATTGAGAAATTGGCAGTCAAGAATAGAATATGAAATTTTTCTTACATATTCTTATTTTTGATAAACTGTTTATGATGCACAAAATACTTAATTTTCTGCATAAATATCTGATCATTTTGCCTGCAAAATATAGAGTACTTGACCTAAGTTAGCAATTTTCTATATTTCTGGATTCCCACATGGGTAGAATTTTTTGTTAAATGACAATATAGACCTACCATGTGAGACCCTTAAGTGTAGTCAATTTCGTTAAACACTCCTGTCATCCTCATTTGATAATATTTCAAAACACAGATAAAAATTGTCACATATATGTTCAGTGAACGAATCGAGGCTGTAACTGTTGTAGAAACTGTATAGAGTTGTTACATTTTATAAAATATATGTGCAGTTATATGTACACATTTAATGTATGTATGTTTTTCTTATTCTGTGATCCAGTTCTGATTGGAATATTGTAAGCAAAACATTCCAATATTTTTTACAAAACCTTTTTTTTTAACCTAACAAATTTTAATATGCTTAAATGCTTATGAAGCTTGCATTGTGATACCTAAGAAGTTATTTTCTTACTTTGTACCAATATATTGATATTTTTATGGTTGTGTCAATTCTGCATATTTATAATTTTGTGCAGTTTATATGATATGAAATGTTAAGGGAGCTACCATTTGATTTTTATTGGGGGGGGGGGGGGGGGGGGGGGGCTAGGATGAAATTTGAAAAAAAGGCAGGACAGGAGATTTGAGTAAAAAAAAGGCAGGATGAGCAACTTGGAAAAATAAAAGGCAGGATGACAATTTATGTAAAAAAAGTCAGGATAAACTAATAAAAAAAAAGGCAGGACCGAATAGAGTGAAAAATAAAAAGGCAGGACAGAGATTACAACTAAAAAAAAATGCAGGACAAAATTTTTCATCCTAGCCCCCCCTTAAAAATCAAATTGTAGCCCCCTAAATGATGTATAAAATACAGAATAAATTTATATATTGTTAAATTTGTTTATGCCCCTGCTGCAAGGCAAAGGGGGCATTAAGTGTTACCCTTGACCGTCAGTCCTTCTGTCTTTCTGATTGTCTGTCCAATTTTTGTCTGGAAAGGAATCTTGAGTGGGGGCATTTATGTCCACAGACTCTTTTATTTCAAACTATTTCCCAGATAATCCAAACTAAAAAACAAAGTGAGGATAACAAAACAAAGAGGCAGAAGACACCAGTGGGACTGTCAAAAATGATGAGCAGTTAGACAAATTTCACTGGCCTCTTTTCATGGATCAGTGATCATGGTTAAAGTTATATATGACTAGGCTGTTTCTCATATACTGTAAGCAGTAAAACAAGACACAGATGTAACCATGAAAACATAATATTGACCATGAAAGGTCAAGATTGGATCAACCCTGCCACACAGACATGAACACCTTACAATCATTTCATTCATCAAATATATTTAATCTATTGCTTTTTGTACAAGAAGTAGAAAAAGCAAGACTTACGTGGTCTGTTTCTGACAGCAGCCCAAACAATGTACTGTAAATTCAGAAATTATTGCGATGTTTTTATTATTGCGAAAAATGCGACAGGGTTATAATCGCAATAATTTAAACTCGCATTTTGAAATTTTTTATATGAATCAAACAGTATTTTTCTCGATATCGCAAAAATTAAAATCGCATGTTAGTCTAAAATAACAAAATGGCAATAATAAATGCACGCAATAATTTCTGAATTTACAGTATTAATTTGTGATAAGGTCAGTTTATGGGGAACCACTTGTGGTAGGCCAATAGTATTTTTTATCCAGTTGTATGAGCATTGGCACATCTCATTTCAATAGAGACTATTTGACTCTGCCCCTTAGTCATGGTCTATTGACTTTGAAACTTTGCTTATATTACATGTTTTATTTTGTGATTAAGTCTGTTTATGGGGAACCACTAATGATAGGTTTATGATATTTGGTATGAATTTTTATGAGCATTCACACATCTCATTTCTCTGCAAATTATTTATACCCACCCCCATAGTCATGGTCTATTGACTGAAATTTTGCATAGTTTCATGTTAAAGTTTGTGATTGGATGAGTTTAAGATAAACCACTAATGGTCCAAGGACACAGTTATCGTCCTTTGGTTTTCGTTGTCTACGAATATAGTCCCTAGTGTGAACAGTAATTTTTGCTAATTTTTATGCCCCGCCGTAGCGGTCGGGGCATTAAGTTTTACCCTTGTCCGTCTGTACGATCGTACGTATGTACGTCCCAAAATTGGTTTCCGTTCTCTAACTTGAGTTTGCCTTAACCAAATGTTATGAAACTTATACACAATGCTTATTAGCACAAAATACAGATCAAGTTTGAATTTTGGTGGCATCACTTTCACCGTTCTAGAGTTATGCCCCTTTATAAATGGAAAAATTGCAAAATTGTTAGTTTCTGTTCTCTAACTAAAGTTTGCCTCAACCAAATGTTATGAAACTTATACACAATGCTTATTACCACAAAACACAGATCAAATTTGAATTTTGGTGGTGTCACTTTTATCCTTCTAGAGTTATGCCCCTTTATAAATGGAAAAATTGCAAAATGTTTAGTTTCTGTTCTCTAACTTAAGTTTGCCACCACCAAACGTTATGAAACTTATACACAATGCTTTTTACCACAAAACACAGATCAAGTTTGAATTTTGGTGGCGTCACTTTAACCGTTCTAGAGTTATGCCCCTTTATAGATGGAAAAATTGCAAAATTTTTATTTTCTTCTAAATAATAAGTAATTTTTAGTCCCCTACCGACGAAGTTGAAGGGGACTTTAGGTTTGCACTCTGTTTGTCTGTCTGTCCGTCCGTCAGTCCGGCAAATCAGTTTTCCAGACTTTTTTTCTTCATGCTTGAAGATATTGATTTGATATTTGGTGTATTGTTTTATCATGACAAGTTACAGGTCAAGTTCGATTTTCACGATTTTAGCTTTTCTCCTTTTTCAATTAAAGCCCTTTCCCTAGAATTTAATTTTTGATGAAATACTTATTAATTAATAGATTTCTGTTCAAAGGGAAATAACTCTTCTTCTTTTTTAAAGATTTGTAAAAGACATTGTATCAAGATAAATGACATTTTGGATTTTTTTCCTTTTCTTTAGTAAATTGTTTGAAGAATTTAGTGGTAGGTTTGCTCCATTACAATGAATTTTTAACCGGTAGGGGACTATGTATTGCCATGCAATATTCACAGAATGCTTGTTAAAATTGGAGTTATCTTCCTTTGTCCATGATTATACATGTAGTTGAATCAACTACAATCAATGTTTTATACAATGCAATGTCTATTTTTTACTTCACTGATAAAACACAGATCAAGTTGAATTTGGGTAGTGTCACCTTAACCATTATTGAGTTATGCCCCTTTACAAATCGAAAGATTACAAAATTTTTAGTTTCCATTCTGTAACTTAAGTTTGCCCCAACCAAACATTATGAAACCTTTA